TTTTTGCATTAAAAAGAGGATACTTTAATTAATAATTGGTGATATTTCCACAAGGATCCTTCAAGAAATTAATTTTATAGCGAATTTTGAAAATTATCGATAAAAATTGCAACATCGAAAATTTTATCAAAACTTCAAATATTGTTTTCTGAAAAACTAAAAGTTATTTTTCAAAACGTGTTGGTTCATTGGAAAGGGGACACTCTTCTTAACACTTTGGCAAATTTTCATGCTCATATTCCAAGAAGTGCATTTTATACGAATTTTTAGAACTTAATCGGCGAAAATTTGCAAAATTCTAAAAGTTGTCGATTATTTCAAAAATGTATTTCTCAAGAACTAAATGTGATTTTTCAAAACGGCTTTTTGCATTAAAAAGAGGATGCTTTAATTAATAATCGAAAGTGATAACAGCAATAGTTCTGTTAGTAATGAATGTGATGATGAATTACAAGCGAAGAGAAGAAAACTAGACAAAACTGCAACAAGAGATTTTATATATCGTATTGGGATTGTTACAATGAGGTTGCTAATGATAAATAAAGTTGTATTCAATGAAAAAAGTCCTATTGGGGTTTGGATACCGGATATTTGGTAACTATCCGGTATCCGGCCGGATTTTAACAAATGGCCGGATACTGGATAGTTGTCGGATATCCGATCCACCACTAATATAAAGTTTTTATCTCTGAAAATTGCTAAAAAAATGTTTCAAGTAACTTTTTTGGGGCCCAAAAATATAGAGCGCTTCGGGCCCACAAAAGGTTTGATCCGGCCCTGACTCCAACATTTCTACTTCAAATAAACGAAACTATTAACTGTGCTATTAGGTTACAATCTTTAAATATTTGATTATACAGGGCGTTTGAGGATTTTGTAGCAGGACTTTAACAGTCGATAGATCTTTTAAAATTAACACAAAAACTTCATATAAACATAGGTCGACAAACGCTTTGTTTTGGAGATACAGGATGTTCAAATTAAATTTTTAAATTGATTTTTATTTAATATTAGACGTGTATTTCAACCGATTCTTTTCAAATTTGGTATACGGAGGTGTTTTGGCATTAGAAGGACGATTATGGAGTTCGTGTTACTATAGCCGGTAGAGGGCGCTCTGTAAAGTATTCTTTACGGATTAAAATAGCGATAACTTTTCTGACAGTATACTTTTTGGCTTTTTGAATAAAAATTCTTATTCTCTGTACTTTTTCAACAAAAGGGATACTCTTATCAAAATGCGCTAAAGTTTATCGTTTTCAAGATAATCCACTTTTTATTATTCGATGACCAATGTTTTTAGAGGATAGTTAAAGATAGTTAAAATAATGTGTGCCATGAAAACAAAGTAGGTAAATTAACTAATGTTTTAGTTTATTAATGTTTTTTTAATCTAAATAATAACAGAAAAAAATTAAAGAAATTGTTGAAAAGGTAAACATTTTGCTTGCATAATTCTGACAGACGAATTACTAATCGAGTAATGATATTTAAAAACAGCCTTATATCATTACAAGCATTCTTAATCCTATAAGTACGAAGGCTTTCACGACCGGAGTTAATTGAACTAAAATTAGAACTACAACTAGAACTAACACTAGAAACTTTCCGGTTTTGCCGTGCGTCTTTTAAGAAAAGGTTTGACGTTTCGGATGCCATGTTGCAACCTTCTTCAGAAACTGGTTCGAAGTGACTTTTTCAGTTTTAATTTTAGTTCAATTCCTAATCCTATTAAAAGTTCATCCCTTGTGGGAACAGGTGTCTCATATAATTTTCCTTTCAAATATCTCCACACAAAAAATTCTAAAGCATTAAGGTCTTCGTCGACCAATCCATCTTGCACGAATAGTTGTCTAGCCAATTTCTTACCACTCTACCATGATAAGCTGGACAACCATCAAGTTGAAACCACTATGTTCAGCTACCAAAAATTACAAGAACGCCGCAGCGGTTAGTTGTGGTGGCAAAAAGTATGGCCCGAAAACATGATTATTATAAACACCTACCCAGACGTTGACGACTAAATACGTAGGGGTACCAAAACATATAAATTGTGAAAGTTTACAATCCCACGTCTTGTGAAAAACGATTCATCGTTCCACATTACAAAAACCGCATTTTATAAAGTTTTTATGCAGCAAACAAAAAATTAAAAAATGAAAAAGAGTAATGAATTTACCACGTTAATAAACAAGGAAATTGAATTTAACACGTTAACGAATAAGGAAAAATAATTTAACACTGATCAACAACTACTGGTGATTTGACACTTGATACAATAAACTAAAACATTAGTGAACTTACCTACATTGTTTCAATGGCAAACATTATTATACCTATCTTTAAAAATCCTCTAAACAAATTGGTATACATCGAATAATAAAAAGCGGATTATCTTGAAAACGATCAACTTTGACGCATTTTGATAAGGGTACCGTTTTTGCTTAAAAACGTACCGAGAATAAGAATTGTTATTTAAAAAGCAAAAAAGTATACTGTCAAACAAGTTATTGTTATTTTAATCCGTAAAGAATACGTTACAGAGCTACCGTTACCAGCTATAGTAAAACAGACTCCATAATAATAATAATAATAAGTTTATTGCCACATAGTTAATACAAGAGAAAAATAATATATATGTATACATAAATGAATAAGTAATGCATGTTGACAAAAGGTCAGTTTATCGCCAAAGGCGATGTCTTCCAAAAGACCCAACCAGCAACGTATGTAAAAAAAATCAATATGGCTATATAAATAATTCAACATTTAAGCAAAAAGAAGAAAAAGAGCAAAGAGGAAAAACAACACAACGAGTACAGTTGATAGAGAGGAAGAGAAAGAAAAAGAGGAGAGAAGCAGGCGATATCAATAGTTAGATTCCGATAATTGTAATGATAATAGATAATCCCTTAAGCAGACCTTAAATGTCAGAAAACTACGAGTGTTGCGTATTTCCATGGATAAACTATTCCAAAGCTTTATAGCCTGCACCGTGAAAGATCCATGATATCTCTCGGTGCGATGAATGGGAAATATGAGTAATGTATCAGACTGTGCTCTAGTAGGCAGACCGCGAGACGACAGGACTTGAAAGTTCGTGTACAAGTATCCTGGGGTCCGAGAAGAAAGTATCTTATACAGCGTTGTCAGTATACGGAATGATCTGCGCTTTTCGACAGTCAACATTTGAAGGTGATTACGATATTGCGTAACATGGTCGTGCTTACCCAGGTCAAAAATAAAGCGTAGACAGTTGTTCTGCAATCTTTCTAATTTGTTACGGAGGGTAATTGCTAGGTCGGGATACACAGCATCAGCATAATGTATGTGGGGCAGTATTAATGACTAACAGAGATTACGACGGACAACAAGGGGAAGCAAACAACCAAGTTTACACAAGGAATGAAAACAAAAATAGACCTTCCCACAAACAGACTGAATCTGATGCCGCCAAGACAGCGCTGAGTCCATTGTCACCCCCAAGTTTTTGACCGTATTGGTGAAATGTATAACATTGTCACCGAGTATCAGTTGCGTATCATTGGAAGAGTAAAATTTTGCAAGTAAAGGTTTTGAGCCGAATGCTATAGGTTGCGTCTTGGCAATATTTAAACTCAGGCCAAAACATTTAGACCAGTGAAGTATCCTGGACAGATCATCATTAAGCCGCGCCATGGATACCGGGAGCTCATTCACAGTTGTAGATGTATAGATTTGAAGATCATCCGCATATAAATGATAGTTGCATGAAATGAATTTGGTAACACTGTTTATAAAAATTGAAAAGAGTAATGGACCCAATACACACTTCCCTGAGGCACACCACTATGACTTTGAAACACAGAAGAAGAAGATGAAGTGTCACGCACACAAAAGGAACGTTGAGAAAGGTATGATCTAAACCAAGTAACGCACTCAGGGGCAAAGCCCATAGCAGACAGAGAAAGTATCGATATTGGCCGAAAATCACTCACATAATCGTCTTTTCCATGCCAAAAAACCTCCGTATATCAAATTTGCACTGAGAGAAATAGATGTACTATGCACTAAAAATATACTATAAGGTATAATACTTTACTACGAAAAGTGACATGAGACGAGATTGTATTCAGTACAATAAAAATAATACTTGCTGCATGTATAATATTTTTTCTATTATACGATTCGTACAATCTATTTCTATCAGTGTGAAAAGAATCGGTTGAAATACACGTGTAATATGAAATAAAAATCAATTTAAAAATGTAATTTGAACACCTGTATCTCCAAAACAAATCGTTTGTTGACCTATGTTTATACGAAGTTTTTGTGTTAATTTTAAAAGATCTATCGACTGTTAAAGTCCTGCTACAAAAACCTGAAACATCCTGTATAATTAAAATAAAACATATTTCTAAATGTTAATTATTTTATTATGAATACTTTTACATACAACTCTTAAAATTACTTATTTTATAGAACATACATTAATTCGGCATTATTTTCATCTGTAGCTTTTATAATAAGTTTCATTGTAAGTTTGATTTGTGCTAAAGGTTGATTTGTCCATACTACCACGAGAAACACCCGCGTAATGTAATGAGTGAACACTCTTTCCTTCAGGAACCTTATCAGAATGTTCAGTTAGTTGAAACCCTAAATATTGAATAATAGTTTTCATAGCTTCCTCTAAAGTATTAACAGAACTTAAAGAAAATACAATAGTTGTAATATGATAATTTGTAACTTCACATGCTTCATCCCAAGCAGATGACCAACTTACTTTACTTTTAAAATTTATTCAGATGGTGTTACTTCCAAACCTTATTAAAACCATAACAATTCCTGTATTGCAATCAGTGGAAAGAAATTATAAAACTGCTCCATTCATTTGGAAATTGTTAACATAGATGTTTCTGATTGTTAAAATTTTGACATTAAATAAAAATCTTACTCAGAAAAGAAAAGAAATAATTTTTATTACATTTTTACACTGAATCTAAACCATAAAAAAAATACTTAATAAATACATTTTTTTCAAAATATAAATGCTAAATATTAACTAGGTTTATTTTGTTGAAAATTAACAGAATATCCTCCACTATTTGGATCTTGTTGAAGTTGAAAGTTAGCTGTTGACAATCCAAAAGGTTTCAAAAGTAAATTTCCAAAATCTTTTAATTTCCCTAGCATCTCTGTTTTAAGTTTTTCATTTCTTTCATGTATCATTGGAGGTAATCGAACACAAGCAGCTCTTGCCTCACCATTCCCAGGATCTAATTCTAAGATTTTTTTGTAATCTTCCAAACTCTCATCTAATTTATCTTTCCCCTCGTATAATTTAGCTCTACGAACATAAGCTTTTAAATAATTACCGTTTAAAGTAATCGCTTTCGTGCAATCTTCAATGGCTAAATCATCCCTTTGTAGTTTCATTTTGGAAGCTGCTCGATTACAATAAAAAATTGCTCTATCATTGGAATATGCCAAAGGGCAAATATTTAATGCTTTGGTATAGTTATTTATAGATTCTAAATATTTTTCTGTTTTAAATTCTTCATTACCAATTTGTTTAAACTCCAATGCTTCTTTGTGGAGTGATTCTTTTTGGTCTTCTGTTAAACTTTCTTGTTGAAGTTTTAATTCTTCTTCGTCGACCTCGTCGATTATAAAAGGATCTTTAGGGGTATCATCATCTTTTTCGAAATCGTCCGGGATTATGTTGGGATTATCATCGCCAGATTTTAATGATTCAGTGTTTTCTTTGTTGATGTCATTTTTTGTGATGTTGAGATCGTTTATGAGACTTTCAACGATTTCTTCGTTTTGTTGTGTTTTTTCTTGTTGAGTAATATCTGACATTGTAATAAATTGGTTGTATTATTTTCTTATGGAAAGAAAACGAACATTTTCTAATGTCAGATCGAAAAACTAACCTTAAATTTATTGAAATGACATATTGTGGTTATGTAGGTAAAATGATTTTTAGGTATTTTGATTAGAAATAATATTATTAACATTTATAAATATTGTTTAATTAATAATATAATAATAAATATTCAATTGATTAAATTTATATTCGAAATATAAATTGAATTGTTTTGTGAAAAATGTATTTATATTTTAAAATATTATTGTAGTGTAGTGTTTTTGGTGGTGGGAAAATTTAAATGTGATTTCATCATTATATTTTAAATCAAATGAAAATTGTTGTTATATAAAACCTTTATTGATATTCTACAAGATACAAATAATAAAATTTGTAATTTGGCTACTGTAATTGTACTACGGTTATTACTACTAAATGTATCTTTGGTTGCATATTTTACGCACAACAACATTCAAATTTCGGCAATAACACTAGTTTACAAATTTTTATCATTTTCTTCCTCGAATGTACGTTCAGCAAGACAGACCATATTTTAATTTGATTTGTCCGTATATTTTTCAATAACATAAGTTGTAACATTTATGGTTTCTATGGTTACATATCGTAAATTGAACTTGAAAAATTTTTAATTTAGGAAAAGTGTAATTTATACATAAAAATGGTGAATAATTACTTAACTTCTATAGCTAGAATATAAAGTTCGTGCGATTTACTGGTTTGAACATATCCGACGCATTATTTATGGTGAGATAACTTTGAAAAATCAGTAATAAATTTTTTTTTCTCTTTGTAACTCGATCCGGGGACATACTGTATATCCTCAAACTCAAGCATTTCTCCACTGCCTGAAAAATTGCCATAATAACACCTATTTTCTAATTCAACAAAGACCAAACAATCTTCTCAAGCTACTGCCCATCTCCAAAGTCGTAGGGAAAATCATTCTTGGAACAATAAGCTCCCTCTCTCTTGATACCAATACTCTTACTACAAGCCAATCTTAAATTCCAAGCGAAATACTATTGTCTATGGAAGATATCCGTCAATCCCAAAAAATTCGAGTCTATTGTATTCAAAAAATACTGTCACCCCACCAGAATCCCTCTAAAAATTTGCAACTCCACAATTCCACTGAAAACAAAAATCAAGTACTTAAGCATCACCCTACACCTTTTTCTTAACATTAAAAAATTTATATTGAAGGTATTACACCATTAAAATCATCCATCCAGTCTTTTTACGAAATAACGACCTAAATCCCAAGCACAAAAACTTTAAACCACCCAAAACAAAACCTTCAGAACCATTTCCAATTTCAACACAAACCTCTGACATATTCACAATACCAAAACCCGTCCAATCTAACAGATTCTCCAGAAACTCCCCAACAACATTAGCAAAACACGAAAACACATTCTCACACAAACTTAACAACCTCAACCGCATGCCCTATACATCTAGGAGCTTCTAAACCTAAAATGTCACAAACCCCCATGCCCACAACATCCCACATCATGTATCCTGTTCAAGATCTTCTCGATAAAGTCATAAGAGATTCGGGAGTTAACATAAGAGGTACTATAGGCAACAAAAGCGTCCAGATTTTAGTCGTCGCGAATGGCGTAGACATAGTTGCTAGTAGAAGGGATATGATAGAAGCCTTTAACCTAATAGAAAGAGCATCGACGAAGAGTGGATTATAGCTAAACGACGTAAAAACAAAATATAACAACGTACGTAATTCGCCTACATTAAGAATTCGATACCAGTGCAGAGGTTAAAAGAAGGAACACTTCCCAGTCCTGGTGTATGGCTCTGAAACGTGGGTCCTGTCAAAGAGGGACGAAAGGCTGCTCGGCACGTTTGAGAGAAAAATACTGCACCATATACAGTGTGTCCCCGGATAGGTGAAACGACTCTTATAAATGGTAAAAATTTTTCGATATTGATTGTCATTTTTTGGGGTTTTCTTGGTTAAAGACTAATTTTGAACATATTTTTAATTTTGAAAAAACAAGTGAGCCTTGACTGTGAAAGAAAAACTTTTTTTGTGGTAGGTAAAGTACCTTTTCTGTTTACAGTACGTGAAAGTGTTACTAAGCAATTTTATTTAGAATGAAAAACTATGGCCATATGCAAATTTTCGGAATGATCGGCCTACTTTGATAAAAATCTTAATGTGTGTTTTGAATATAATGTTAACATTAGACGAAAAAGTTTATGTGATTCAGTGTTATGGAACCGGGGAAAAATCAATGAATATGGTTATTACTCTATTTAATGAAAAATTTCCAAACAGTGGAATTAACAAAAGTACTTGTTGGCGTTTAATCAAAAGATTTGGTACAACAGGAAGTGTTCACTATAAGAAGAAAGAAAAAAAAATTATGATGAAACTGATACAGGTACTTTAGTTGCTTTACATTCAACGGATGCATTTCCTACCATGTCTCTAAGAAATCGATGCATAAATACAAACATAAGTAAAACACATTTACAAAGAATTTATAAAGCAAACAGAATTTATCCGTACAAAGCCAAATTTTGCCACACTTTGGACGAAGGTGACGACGCAAAGCGATTGCATTTCTGTTTATCTTTGGGGGAATTAATTTTAGAAAACAGACGTTTTCATAAACTAATAATTTTTTCTGATGAATGTACTTTTACCACAAATGGTATTCCTTCTTCCCAAAACTGTCGGTATTGGAGCAGAGACAATCCCCATTATGTAATTAATGCAAACAGGCAGTAATTTAAAAAAGTTAATGTGTGGTGTGCCGTGTCATACAAACTAGGAATAATTGAAGGAACATTAAACCAACAAACTTATTTACTAATTCTGACAAGGTTTGTTGACGAACTTCCATTAGATGTTCGACAGACTCATTTCTTTCAACATGATGGCTGCCCTGCCCATTCAACAAAAATGATTAGTAATTGGCTAAATAATCAATTTGGCACAAGATGGTTCTCCAGATCTCCAGATCTCACAATAATGGATTTTTTTGTTTGGGGAAGAGTAAAACAAATAGTTTACCAAGAACACATTCCGAATGATATCGAAATACTAAAAAATAGAATAACAGGCAGTTCGATCACTTCCTAGAGAGCATGTACAGGCAACTTTTGGAGCATTCCGAAAACATATCGAAAAATGCGCAAATTTAAGAGGTGATTTGATAGAGAGTTACATGTAGTCTGAAGTTATAATTTATTATAACTTCAAACTACCGTGGTTATTATTGTATGTTTTGATTTCTTTGAATAAACATTATCATTATTATTTTATTAATAATTCAATAATTTGTCATAATTAAGTGTGTTTTTTATTATGTTTTCCTTTCCTTTTCCTCTTTCCTTTTCTGTTGTATTTTTTATATAAAACAAGGAGTTGATGAGCAGACGTTCGACGAGTTCACGTCAATATTTTTGTTCGACTAAAAGTTGCTAAGAACCTTTTTTAGAGAGTACTAAGAGAGAGTACTAAAGTAGTATTTTAAGTAGTTTTTTTTGTAGGCGAATAAACATTTAATTTGTTTTGAACATTTTAATAACGTTTTGTTTATTTCTCCCGAACAAAAAACAACAAAAACTCGAACAAAAAATCGTAATAAAATACTATTGACGAAAATAATAAACAATGAGTTTTATCAAAGTAGGCCGATCATTCCGAAAATTTGTATATGGTCATAGTTTTTCATTCTGAACAAAACTTCTTAGTAACACTTTCACGTACTGTAAACAGAAAAGGTACTTTACCTACCGCAAAAAAATTATGTTCAAAATTAGTCTTTAACCAAGCAGGGCTAAACCCCAAAAAATAACAATCAATATCGAAAAATTTTTACCTTTTATAAGAGTCGTTTCACCTATCCGGGGACACACTGTATATAAAACCTTTGTTGTCATCAATTGAAGAAGGATGTCTTGTAACGGAGCGGAATGGCAGAAGATGTTGGAACATTTCAAGATTCACGAAGGGTTGTCGGACCATTGATGACGGTGAAAAGTANTATATATATAAAACCTTTGTTGTCATCAATTGAAGAAGGATGTCTTGTAACGGAGCGGAATGGCAGAAAATGTTGGAACAGGTCAAGATTCACCAAGGGTTGTCGGACCATTGACGACGGTGAAAAGTATATGTAAATAGATTGAAGAAGTGTTTCGCCAGATCTCACCTGGCATCTTCAGTGCGTTGTCGTAGTCTCCTGCCGGCAGACTGCTGAAATGCCTGGTGAGATATTCGCGAAACGTCTGCCCCTTTCCAAAGGGAACCTACAGGAAGAACGGATGAAATCTTGGATCGACCACAACAACGCAACTTTCTAGAAATCTGCGTCCCGCCATTCGTATCTGGAGGACATGAGATGATTCATTTTTGTGTTGCTATGTTGTCTATACTATAGGGTTCCTATTGAATATTATTAGAAAGATCTTTGAAAAAGGCATTGGAGCAATTGATTGTTAACATTTTATGGCAATGCTGGATCGATAATTTTAAAACGGTGAGAAACAAATTTAATAAACTTTTTAGTAGAGCAAGAAATGTGTATGAATGGGAAAAAACCTGTACTATTATAGACAAAATTTCTTAGAGTACATTAAGGAGTCTTTATATATAAAAAGAATAGAAATAGGAATGGAAATTCGTTTTTAAACTCGAGAAATCTGGTATGAGGTTATCCCGTCTTATACTTAAAAGTAATCTTAATAAAGAAAAATCGTTTTTATTTAATTGCTTTTATAACCATACAAGTTGATTAAGAAAATTAATTGTCCTATAAATTACAACCTACGTTCACGAACGGTTAACATTGATTACAAAGAAAATGGCTGGGAAAGCAATTAAATTACTTTCATGACGAAAGTATGGCTCCTGATAGAATCTTTAGCATATGTTTTTTAACATTACTACTGGTAAGTGAATTATCAAAAGATTTTTTTCTTATTAGGAAGGCCAAACATTTTAGTTAATTGCCCTTATCAACGCTCTACCAAATCCAATAGATAACGAAAGCATCCAGTCTAATTTAGGCTTTAAAGGTTCATACTTACTTGATTCAA